TGTAAGATTCCACCCAAAACCTGGCTTCACACCTCCTAGGGACTTTCGCCTGTGGGACGGGACTGCACGATTAGATGCATCACTCAACATACGGAAATATTTTGACCTGTCTTCTCAATAACTTCTAGAATTTGATAGCATGTTGATAGAACATGGTGAGATAACTTTGGGTAACTTTCTCGACTCTCATACTCACAGTGATGGACGTGGCAGTTCTGGCACACGTGTAGGATGCAGAGAAAGGGTTCTTGGGGGGGAATCGGCAGGGCCAGGGGCTGGAGTAGGACGGGGAATCGGAGCCACGGGAACGAAGCATTCCTGTTTACTGAGCGGTTTTGCGTTGCTACGGGTACTTTTTTCTCACCCGTGTTCCCCACCTCTCCTGGCCGCGCTCCCCTCCGCACCAATCGCCTGCTCCCCAGTGGACAAGGAAAAAGCCTCTTCTTGCAGATAGAACCGTCGTTACTTGTTGGTACAAACCCTGTGATAATCGTTTGTTACTCAGGTGAACACTATATTATATCAAGAGGGTGACCCCATTATAACGACATTTTCTAAATAAATCAAGACGTGACATTTTAACACAAGCTTTGGGGAAGGGAAATTCAGATAGAAAAACATTGGCGCTTCCAGACGGTTTTTGCTATTTCCGTGGACAGAAGCGAGGACTCTTTTGTGTTGGACGATCTTGAACCATTGCAATATGGTCTCTGAGCTGGTGTGGCGGGCGGTGTGTCACCGCGAGGCCTGTCAGAGTGGGCGGAACATTGCTTGAGTTCCCTTGGATATCGGTCAGTTCCTTTTTGATACTGAACTTTTTTTTTTTCTTTTTTAAATAAAATTCTGTCTTAAGCAGCTCAGCTGGGTAAAAACATACGACTGAGCTTGATAATAACGCAGTCAGAACCTTCTGCAGGATTAGGAGTTTCTCTTTTTTCAAAAAAAGAAAAATATTTCCGCTTTTCCGAGGGCATCTGGGAATCGTGTTTGTTTCTCTCGTCTGGCGTCTGCCGAGTGCAGAGGGCGAAATGGCTCCGGTGGTTAATGACTAATCCCTCTGCGTGACACAGCGCAGGTACTGAATGAACAGTCGCTGCTCCACGCAGCTTCTCGTTGTTGTCCTGGTCCCCTGGGCATGTGGGTTCCTTCCTCACGCTGAGAGGTGAAGCCATTCACTGCAGCCCAGTGAGTCAGCGAGCTTGGTGAGACGTTCCCGTGGGGCTGTAGCCTTTTTTAAGAGAAGGAACTTGAAGAGGTCACCCAGGTGCCAAAATACCCCAAAATTGTCCAAAAAAGAATCATGAGATAAATGAAACATAGGACTTATTACTTTCTAAGAGTAAGATTTCTACAGCTAATATTCTGTTTTATCCTACGTAAGCTGTCCTTAAGGAGACAGTGTATTGTGACAATAATAATAATAATAGCTAACTTGTACGGAAAGCTTTTGTCTTCCAGACGTTGCTTCTATGTACTCTACATGTATCGACTAATTTTACACATCATCTTTCAGTGCCTAGGTGATCACCGGAACAGACTCAAGCTCTGTTAACACACCAGTGTGTGGAATTGTTCCTGTTTCTGTTTATAATAATTATAGGGTCTGTCACATCCGACTCCTGGCGACTCCGAGTGAGGGATGTCCCCACCGCCTCGTCCCCAGCAGCTCTGCTCGGCTCTCGTACACTCATGCGAATGTCGCCTTTATGGAGTCACTCCATCTCATACCTGGTCTTCCTCTTTTCCTGCTGCCTTCTGTTTTTCTCAGCATTGTTGTTTTTTCCCAAAGAGCCCTGCCTTCTCATGTTATGCCCGAGGTAGGACACCTTCAGTCTTGTCATTTTTGCCTCCAGCGATGTTTCAGGCTTCATTTGCTCTGGGACCATTTGTTCGCCTTGCCGGTGGTGGGGCTCTCCTCCAACACCATCATCCGTTTTCCCTCATCAGCCTTCTGCACTGTCAGGATCCGGGACTGCGAGGGTGTGGTTGATCTTAGCCTTCATCTCCAGTGACAGATCTTTGCTCTCGAAAGTACGTGCTGGGGAGCAATCAGCAATTTCTGCCATAGTCCCAGATGTTGGATCATTTTTCCCCCTCCATCCGAAATGCTCACCCCCTCCTCCAGGGTGAGAGCCCTAACGTCCTATTCATTAACTTCCGGTCATTCAGATTCAGATCCTCTGGGGTTGTACAGTCTTCTGTCTCAGGGTTAGACAAGGCTCAGTGGGGTCTGGCAATCTGTTAGTTAAAACAGACATGCTGTCTGCTCCCAGGACCCCTGCGTACCACACTGTTGTAGTTGAGATGGGGACCCTCAAATACCCCTGAGAGAAGTCTTTCTGCTCCCTGTGGTCTCTTGTCCTTTGGGGTCCTGGCTTTGCCTTTTTTGGGGGCAGGGGTGGTGGTTTCTTAACCACACCACATCTGAGGTGGGCATTGGAGAGGATGGGCTTTAGATGTCCACTCCTGGTGAGGGTTTGTGGTCTGGGTATTGTTTTGAGGATGAACAATCATGGCTTTTTATTGGTCAGCCTCATGGCTTCTGCAGAGGTAGAAGTCTCTCAAACCCTTAGTAGGCCTCTAGCCTGTTTGCTCTGATGGTCCCACGTGACTTACCCGCAAAGATCTTGTCTGGACCAGCCTAAAATCTGGTCTTTTAAAGACTGCGATGCCTCGCCATCCCCTTTTCTCCAAATCTGATTGTGGCTCCCTTGGGCCAAATGAAACAGTGGGCTTGGGTGAAAGGCCAGGCCCTGATCATATCTTTGGCACAAGGCTCCTGGGCTGTATATGGTGAAGCAGCTGTCTTATTGCTTGTTGAGGATGCAGGAACAGCCCCATAAGCTCCAACGTAGATGCCGTTGCTGACAGAGAGCCCCTCTCATCAAATCTGTGTTCTTTTCCACCTTCTTAAGACTGGTTACCTCTAGTGGAGGTGGGTTCTCTTTTCACTGAACTTTGCTTAGAGTGTCAAGAGGATTGACAAACACTGACATTTTGAATTTTCAGAGCTATTTCCTATGATGACACAGTTTTTGTCAGATACCTGGTCTACCTCCCAAGATCTAGACGGCCAGGCTGCATGCCAGCGGTTTTGTGAATGGTGAACCCGTGAGACCCTTGTCTTCAACGACTCCTGCCATCCAGGTCCTCCATAGGAGGCCGCATTTTAGTCCTTGTTTCTTGTGGCCTAAAGATTCTTGTGCACAAGATGTAAATACACCCTAGCATACCCCGCGTAGGTACCAGTTTCTAGGTCAGTTCGGATTCGATGCAGCTGTGTGAGAAAGCGGTCCAAAATTAAAGTGGCTTAAACAGGTTTAAAGTTTATTTCTCTCCTGTAAATGAGATGGACCGAGATGGGTGGTCCAGGGCCAGTGTGTGTCCCACAGTGTCAAGGACCCAGGTGAGTTGCTCTGCCACCATCAGCAGGTAGTCCAGGAGGTGACGTAAGCCTTTCTGTTCTCATTTTAGCCAGTGAGCAGGTGAAGGGGATAAAGAAGAACTTGCCTGCATTCCTCATGCACTCTTTCTAATAGTTCCATGTGAGTAATTATGAAGGAGCTCGTTTGGACAGAGTTTTCCAGAAGTGGCTCATGACATTTTTGTTTGTATCTCAGGGCTGGGACCTAGTCACATGACCTTATCTACCAACAAAAGGCTAGGAAATAAATGTGGTCTTTAGATTTAGCATCCATGAATCCAGCTGAACCTAAGGAGAGGAAGGTAGATGTTGGAGGACAATTAGAAGTCTTCGTCACAGATGTGTACTTCCTATTTGTCAGACTGCCCTCACGTAGTGTACACATTATGCTAGCCCCAGTGCCTACAGGATTTAAAATCCTGGGTGGAAATAATTATTCGACTGGTAACACTAGTTTTGTTTTACTGTTTACCCAATGCCATCAGACCTGTTTTTCTTATGTTACTGTAAATCTGGGAGGTTTGGAAATTTCTCTTCGGACAAATATTTCGGAGGATATCACATTTTCTTCTATGACCGCAAACGCAGCTGAGCTGCTGTGACGCCGAGGTGGACGTTCGATCGCTGGGGATGAGAGCGGGCTGGCTGTGAAGCCATGAACTGGCACCACCGTCACCTCCTGCCCCCACCGTCACCTCCTGCCCCCGCCCTGTGAATGCGAAAGCTGTGTTAGTGCTTCCGCAGAGAGCGGAGGGCTCCGGGGAGAGCGAGCAGTAGAGGGAAATATGGGCGTCGCTTGCTGATAACCAAGTCATGGGAATCGAAGGGCCCGTGG